TTCAGGATAGCACGCCGAGCCCCAAACTGCAACGTGGCTCTGCTGGCAGAGGAAATTGCCCAGTTTTTGGCCAACTCTCCTTTTCAGCACAAACCGGCGAGGATCGAAACTGAGCCACCACGGTCCGAGCATGATTCAAAACAAATCTGTGAAAGTACCGCGCGCCGTGCATCTTGTGAACCTGACACCCAGAACTCTTCTTGAATAGGTGAAGAATGGCACAGCCATACGAAGCCTGCACCCAACAGGAAATGGAAACTGGCAGTTTGCACCCTGCAATGCTGCAGTGGGAAGTTGCAACAACCTAAAACCCTAAACGGGTCAGGGACGAGGCGTGCTCATCAGGAGTGGCCGACTGCCAAAAAAAAGTGTGCACTTGGCAAATGGAAAAAAACTTAGGACTTAGCACGAGCGAGGCGTGGCAAACCTCAAGCCCCGGAATGGCTACGGTGGCAAACGACATACCGAAAAGCAAATGACCCTACACCCAAAAAGGAACCAGCAATGGCAAAAGACTATAAACCCTAAAAGTGTGAGTGATGAAACACTCTCAACCAACAGAACAATGAGTAAAGGGCCATTTCTAGCCCAGAAGAAACAAACTACAGTGCCAAACCCGAACTTGAGAAATAGGCGACGGCAAAGACCATAATGCGGGAGAAGTGGGCAGTGGCATACACGCGGGGATCGAAATAAAGCCACCACGGTCCGAGCATGATTCAAACAAATCTGTGAAAGTACCACGTGCCGTGCATCTTGTGAACCTGACACCCAGAACTCTTCTTGAATAGGTGAAGAATGGCAAAGCCATACGAAGCCTGCACCCAAAACGGAATGGCAACTGGCAGTTTGCACCCTGCGATGCTGCAGTGGGAAATTGTAAAAACATAAACCCTAAACAGGTCAGGAATGAAGCGTGCTCACCCTGAGTGGCCGACTGCCAAAAAGAAGTGTGCACTTGGCAATGGAAGAAACAAGCTTAGGACCTAGCACCAGCGAGGCGTGGCAAACCTCAAACCCCTCAATGGCTACGGCGGCAAACGATGCACACGAAGGGGAACGGAACGCTGCCAAAATTCACTCCTGCATTGTGTGGGGTGGCAACCCGAGGGCAGCCAGCGAAAAGGATGTCATACGACAAACCGAAAAGCAGATGATCCCTGCACGAAAAGGAACCGGCATTGGTAAAAGACTAAACCCTAAACGTGTGAGTGATGAAACACTCTCAACCAACAGAACAATAAGTAAAGGGCCGTTTCTAATAGAAACAAACTACAGTGCCAAACCCGAACTTGAGAACTAGGCGACGGCAAAGACCCATAATGCCGGAGAAGTGGGCAGCGGCATACCGGCGAGGATCGAAACTGAGCCACCACGGTCCGAGCATGATTCAAAACAAATCTGTGAAAGTACCGCGTGCCGTGCATCTTGTGAACCTGAAACCCAGAACTCTTCTTGAATAGGTGAAGAGTGGCAAAGCAGTACTAAGCCTGCACCCAAAACGGAATGGAAACTGGCAGTTTGCACCCTGCGATGCTGCAGTGGGAAAATTGTAAAAACATAAACCCTAAACAGGTCAGGAATGAAGCGAGCTCACCCTGAGTGGCCGACTGACAAAAAGAAGTGTGCACTTGGCAATGGAAAAAAACGCATTGGCAAAAGACTAAACCCTAAACGTGTGAGTGATGAAACACTCTCAACCAACAGAACAATAAGTAAAGGGCCGTTTCTAACGCAGAAAAAACAAACTACAGTGCCAAACCCGAACTTGAGAAATAGGCGACGGCAAAGACCCATAATGCGGGAGAAGTGGGCAGCGGCATACCGGCGAGGATCGAAACTGAGCCACCACGGTCCGAGCATGATTCAAAACAAATCTGTGAAAGTACCGCGCGCCGTGCATCTTGTGAACCTGACACCCAGAACTCTTCTTGAATAGGTGAAGAATGGCACAGCCATACGAAGCCTGCACCCAAAAAGAAATGGAAACTGGCAGTTTGCGTCCTGCAATGCAACCTAAAACCCTAAACGGGTCAGGGACGAGGCGTGCTCACCATGAGTGGCCGACTGCCAGAAAAAGTGTGCACTTGGCAATGGAAAAACAACTTAGGACTTAGCACGAGCGAGGCGTGGCAAACCTCAAACCCCGGAATGGCTACGGTAGCAAACGATTTGCAGACGAAAGGGAACGGAACGTTGCGAAACTTCACTCCTGCATTGTGTGTGAGGGTTGGCAACCCGAGGGCAGTCAGGGAACAGGAGGTCATGCGACATACCTCAAAGCAAATGACCCTACACCCAAACAGGAACCAGCAATGGCAAAAGACTAAACCCTAAAAGTGTGAGTGATGAAACACTCTCAACCAACAGAACAATTAGTAAAGGGCCATCTCTAACGCAGAAGGAACAAACTACAGTGCCAAACCCGAACTTGAGAAATAGGCGACGGCAAAGACCCATAATGCGGGAGAAGTGGGCAGTGGCATACAGGCGACGGTCCGAGCATGATTCAAAACACATCTGTGAAAGTACCGTGCTTCTTGTGAACCTGAAACCCACAACTCTTCTTGAATAGGTGAAGAATGGCAAAGCCATTACGAAGCCTGCACCCAAAACGGAATGGACACTGGCAGCTTGCACCCTGCGATGCTGCAGTGGGAAATTGTAAAAACATAAGCCCTAAACAGGTCAGGAATGAAGCGTGCTGACCCTGAGTGGCCAACTGACAAAAAGAAGTGTGCACTTGTCAATGGCAAAAAGCTTGGGAACCTAACACGAGCGAGGCGTGGCAAACCTCAGATCCCGGAAATTGGCTACGGCGGCAAACGATGCACACGAAAGGGAGCGGAACGCAGCGAAACTTCACTCTTGCATTGTGTGAGGGTGGCAACCCGAAGGCAGCCAGTGAAAAGGTCATACGACAAACCGAAAAGCAAATGACCCAAAAAGGACCCTGAACGCGTGAGTGATGAAACACTCTCAACCAACAGAGCAATGAGTAAAGGGCCATTTCTAACGCAGAAGAAACAAACTACAGTGCCAAACCCGAACTTGAGAAAAAGGCGACGGCAAAGACCCATAATGCGGGAGAAGTGGGCAGCGGCATACCGGCGAGGATCGAAACTGAGCCACCACGGTCCGAGCATGATTCAAAACAAATCTGTGAAAGTACCGTGCTTCTTGTGAACCTGACACCCAGAACTCTTCTTGAATAGAAGAATGGCAAAGCCGTACTAAGCCTGCACCCAAAACGGAATGGAAACTGGCAGTTTGCACCCTGCGATGCTGCAGTGGGAAATTGCAAAACATAAACCCCAAACAGGTCAGGAATGAAGCGTGCTCACCCTGAGTGGCCGACTGACAAAAAGAAGTGTGCACTTGGCAATGGAAGACACAAGCTTAGGACCTAGCACGAGCGAGGCGTGGCAAACCTCAAACCCCGGAATGGCTACGGTAGCAAACGATTTGCACACGAAAGGGAACGGAACGCTGCGAAACTTCACTCCTGCATTGTGTGTGAGGGGTGGCAACCCGAGGGCAGCCAGCGAAAAGGAGGTCATACGACAAACCGAAAAGCAGATGATCCCTACACGAAAAGGAACCGGCATTGGCAAAAGACTAAACCCTAAATGTGTGAGTGATGAAACACTCTCAACCAACAGAGCAATGAGTAAAGGGCCATTTCTAACGCAGAAGAAACAAACTACAGGGCCAAACCCGAACTTGAGAAATAGGCGACGGCAAAGACCCATAATGCGGGAGAAGTGTGCAGTGGCACACAGGCGGGGATCGAAATAAAGCCATCACGGTCCGAGCATGATTCGAAACAAATCTGTGAAAGTACCGCGTGCCGTGCATCTTGTGAACCTGACACCCAGAACTCTTCTTGAATAGGTGAAGAATGGCACAGCCATACGAAGCCTGCACCCAAAACGGAATGGAAACTGGCAGTTTGCACCCTGCGATGCTGCAGTGGGAAATTGTAAAAACATGAACCCTAAACAGGTCAGGAATGAAGCGTGCTCACCCTGAGTGGCCGACTGACAAAAAGAAGTGTGCACTTGGCAATGGAAGAAACAAGCTTAGGACCTGGCACGAGCAAGGCGTGGCAAACCTCAAACCCCTCAATGGCTACGGCGGCAAACGATGCACACGAAAGGGAACGGAACGCTGCGAAACTTCACTCCTGCATTGTGTGTGAGGGGCGGCAACCCGAGAGCAGTCAGGAAACAGGAGGTCATACGACAAAGCGAAAAGCAGATGATCCCTACACCCGAAAAGGAACCGGCATTGGCAAAAGACTAAACCCTAAAAGTGTGAGTGATGAAACACTCTCAACCAACAGAACAATTAGTAAAGGGCCATCTCTAACGCAGAAGAAACAAACTACAGTGCCAAACCCGAACTTGAGAAATAGGCGACGGCAAAGACCATAATGCGGGAGAAGTGTGCAGTGGCATACAGGCGAGGATCGAAATACAGTCACCACGGTCCGAGCATGATTCAAAACAAATCTGTGAAACTACCGTGCTTCTTGTGAACCTGAAACCCAGAACTCTTCTTGAATAGGTGAAGAATGGCAAAGCCGTACGAAGCCTGCACCCAAAACGGAATGGAAACTGGCAGTTTGCACCCTGCGATGCTGCAGTGGGAAATTGTAAAAACATAAACCCTAAACAAGTCAGGAATGAAGCGAGCTCACCCTGAGTGGCCGACTGACAAAAAGAAGTGTGCACTTGGCATTGGCACTAACACGAGCGAGGCGCGACAAACCTCAAACCCCGGAATGGCTACGCCGGCAAACACTGGAGTATCGTCCGCCTCTCAAGGCCTATACATTTGTGATGACATGTCGCTCCAAGAGATCTTCTGGCCATTTGAGCATCGATCATGTGATGCAACAAGACTATGTCAGCTTGTCCATCTTCCCTGCCGTCGCCTTTACTCGGAGTCTTGCTCTCACAGGCGAATTGAGTCGAAGTGACCTCCGAGGACCTGGCAAGTTGCTCCTGCAAAGCAGCATAGGTTGCAGTCGGCCTGAGCCACTGAAGCTTACGGGAGAACCACAGGAATGACGGGCATGCATTTCCAACCTCCTTTGCGGCCGTTTGATTCACAAGTTGCAGCAAAAAGGCTCTGCCACCGCTTCTTCCTTGTCCTGTGCTCTCACAGACAGACGGGACGCTGTCGAAATCGGTTCACTCAGGCAAGCGATTCGCTCCTTGGCCGAAGGAGGAGGCTTCAGTTCCTCAAAGCGGCAAAGCAACGCAACGCCGCAACGGCAACGCACCGCGTCAGTGAAAGAAGAACCGACCGTGTAGATCAGATCTTGATCAATTAATCTGTCACCGAAATTCTGCAGGCGGGCGCTGAGTGAGCTGATCCACGAACGTCACACGTCGGCTGAGTCGAAGGCCATGCCTTGCGATCGTGCCCGAATTAGCAAACCGAGTTACCCTTGCCGCGTTTCACCTGCAGCCTGGGCTCGACAGAATCTCATCCGCATTCCAGACTGCCTCAGACACCAGCAGAGACGTAGTCCATTTTATCACGTGACAAGCCCTCAGCCTTGGAACATGGCCATGATGGCCATGGACATGAACCCAACTGACCAAGGCACAGCATCCGTGGAGACGGTTTCCAGCGTGCCCTCGAAAAGCCCAGGAGGCCGAGCAATCTTCGGCTCGTTGTTCCGAACCGGCGGCGGCCGATGCAAAAGGAGAACCTCAAGCTGTGCACCCCAAAACACCACGAACACTCTCACTCTCACTGAGGAGCAGCAGGGCTTCGCGCCTCACGTTCTTCCTCAGACTCCTTTTGCAAGGGCGCGGTCGACAAGGCTATGGAAGCCACAACGAGACCAGTCGAAGGCATGCTGATGAGGGAAACCTGGATGCACGGGTGCCGGAATTGCGAACCGAAATTTAAGAGGTGGCCTCATCCACGGCAAGCATACTGTTGCCAACATCACTGTAAAACATGCCACGACCTGCAAGGAAAGCCACCGTCAGAACATAAGCGAGGGCGCACACAGTTTACGGTGAATGGCACATCAAGGCTACTTCATGTGACACGTTGTGACACCAACGTGAGCCAGGTAGTTCCAGCCCTGTGCCCACCTGCGCCATGTGCCTTGGAAGCTCGGGCATCCATGGCCACTTGCTCCAAGCGTCGACACCATCTTTCTCGCCCCTCGCACAGCCGCACAGCAAAGGACGGATTAGCTGCAGCAGCCCCTGCCATCTCACGAAGCAACGACTGCAACACGGACGCTCGGCGGAAAAGGGCTGCACCCCCCGAGACCGGGAGGGCAAGTAGGATACACCCGTGGGATTTAGGGTCTCAACCTGTGTCAAACATTTATTCAATCCGAAGTGCCTCCAGCAAGCCACAGACAAAGCCATCTTTGCAATCTTCAGGTGAGCGTGAGATAGCATCCTTACGAAGAGGACAATTTGCAATGCAATTCACGGCCCTTCGCCGCCCCGGCCCTGGTTCGAGACGCACAGCACAACATGACATGTGAGGCTTGCGGTCAGGATGCTCTCAACCTGGCATGCGAGCCCTCTCTGTCCCTCTCTTGCTGAGGTTGTGCGTTTGCGACTGCTTCTCGGTTCCATGCTCGTCCTTTGCACTATGCAGCCTTCCAAAAAAGACATCTCGCGAGCACGTTTAAGAATGCAAATGCTCTCTTGTGCTGCGGAGGCCTGCTCGGGAGCTTCGAGGAACAGCTTCCGGCACCACAAAACGTGCCGTCGCTAAACTCAGACTGTAGCCCGGATTCTCCCCAACGGGAGGATGTTTGCGAGAGTGCTTTCAGCAATAACCACATCTTTTTAAAACGACAAGTTGAAAAGAACGTGAGGAGATAGTGCGAAAGATATGACTGTATCGGGATAGCCGCAGAGATCATCTTCGACTCATCTACGTTGCGGCTGTGTCTGAAAATGTTAACGAAACTTCCGCTTCCCCAGTTACGTCTTGCGGCCATCAAGCAGCATGCGAAAACACAAGAAGCTGCAATGATGGCAATCGGAATCGATCGAAGCTTTCGTAGCTTGTTTGTTGGAGGGCTTCGCCTTCTAGTCCGCACGTAAGCCTACCGCACCTCTTCCCTCGGAACCGTGACTTTCTGGTGGCGTGATTTATTGCCAGTACTGCTGTTGCCTTCCGGACATCGGCATGCGGCCAATGTTTTGTGCTTTGAACCAGTGCGTGCGTTTAGAGCCAGGCCGAGATGACACGAAGTCATGTGCGAGAGTTTGGAGATCATGAGCACCGTTCTGAACCGCTGGCCGCTGGATCGAAGGGACGCGCAGTCGAGGAAAGGGCTATGCTATTCACGTGACCTTCCGCAGCGCAAGTCAAGTGGACTTGCGAAGTATACAAGTCCTGGGTCCGAAGACAGTAGTTGAACCTTCAAGAAAAGCGCTCCGGAGGAGACTTCAACCCCAACCTGCCTCCTAAACAGCACCCACCTTACATGTGTAGTGAGGTCACATATCCACTTGGGTCAAGGCCCCAGTGACCCGACACATCACATCGCAAAGCCCCAACAGCGTCTGGAGTCTGAAGCCTTGCAGCCGAAAAACGCTCTGCTAAAAGTCGAACCGGTCTTCAGTGAGGCGGCATGCTTCAAGCCTCCTCCTCCCCTTCTTCACCGTCTTCCCAGGTCATTGCGTTTACAAACACTGTCACTGGCAAGGTTCCGAAACGGCAACTCACAACCGAAAGCCTCATCCTCTGTCAATATTTTACAGGAAACCCCACCGCTGACCACAACAGGGAGGTTTGCCGGAAACGGGTCTGGAAGCCCTGTAGGTCTTGGGTAGGACCTCCCGCAAAACACATCCGCTTCCGTATGCTCACCTTACTTGTTCTTCCGTTTGCAAGCCTTGCCCTTCTGGTGTGACATAACTTCCCTTGAAATGGCGTGCTTCTGCTCGCTCTTCTGACGCTTTCCGCTGAGCCTTCATTTTACACCCTCCCAGGCTCTGCAAAAAGCCGGAGCAGCTCGGGGCCAAAAAGCTCTTCGAATCGCAACGACGGCACTGCTAGGACAAGCAAGACATCTCGTAACATTGCCGCTATTAAGGAGGCATAAGGAGGCTTCGGTCAGGCATCACGAAGCGTCACGCAAAAAAGGCTCAAAGTCAGCCGGGCGACCGGGATGCCGACGACGAAACGTCGCACGACTGTGGGCCGCGACAGGCGAAGCCTGGAGCTTCCGGCTCGGAGGCAGAGGCCGTGACGTAGGGGAGCCTCCTTAGCTAATGCAAAGCAAAGCAGGATCGCTCCACAGCTCTGTCTCCTCGTGCCACTCCAATGCCACCGAGCCGCACCAAAATAAAGCGAAGTCGCGGGATCGGCGGGGTATGGACAGGCCACTACTCGCCACACTCCATCCCAGCTCACTTTCAAGTCAATCCTGGCTCGGAAACTATTGGGTCCAGTGAACACGCGATTCCAGCAGTATCCCAGGTCGCCCATTGATTCAGACAAGCATCGGAAAGCCTCTGGAGAAGTCTGCTGGGATGCTTTGCCCAAAGCGCTGCGAAGGAGGTAGCCGTCCCAAGGCCAGTTCAAAGCAGCGGGATCTCGACCTGCTGTCATTCTGAATCGTCAACGAAGCTTTGCAGAAAGACTCGTCGCACATCGCAAAGAGCGCCACAAGATGCCACAAGTCAGAAAAACTTGCTTGAGCTTCGCATCTTTGCTTCACCCGTCCCCGCAGCAAATTCAGGCAAACCGCGCTGGCCGTTTCTGTGCGCCAGCAAAGGATTCGTGGCCCAAAGTCAAATTCACGAGGCCAGCTTGGGAAGAGCCTGGCGAGCGAATGTTCTGAAGAAAACGCGATCACCTGCGGGTGTGCTGCACCAAACTTACTTGCTGCTTGCTTGTGAATGCTGCAATATGCATCTGTGCAAACAAAACATGCTTTGGATGCTGTAAGAAGTTGAGAGTGAGCACAGGACCAAAACACCACTCGACCCAACCGAATAGCAGAGGAACACACGAGTTCGTAACTACGCGAAAAAACAGGAAGCAGAGCAGGAACCAAGGTTACCAAAACAAGAAAATAGCATCAGCTTTGCTACTTTAAGGTCCGCCCTGTGCGTACTGACACGAACATCTGCATGCTACAGTGCCTGCAGTCAGGTCCTGGATAAGCTTGGAGACGGCCGAGGCAACCTTTTGATCACCTGACTCCAAAGGTCCAAATCCCAGCCAGACCCCATCAGCCCATCAGCACGTGCCCACAATCAGCCATTGAGCACCTGAGCACCTTGTCAAGCCTTGTGCCTCTTGGCCCCGTGTGTAAGTGGCCAAGAGGCTGACCCAATCCCAACGAAAGGCTTCTGGATGAGCCAAGCGGAGGTGCTGCGACAAGACGCCGTCCACCAGACCCTCCGCCTCACCTCTTCATCAACAACTTCAGGTACCGAAACCGGCGAACGCTTTGCAAGCAGCTTCTGGGTCCGAATTCTGCATACATGTCAAGCACCTGAACATCCCTACCAAAGACAGTGCTGTGTTTTTGATACTTGCCTTACCTCGAAACATATTGTTATTTACTACATCCTGGAACTCATCTACACTGAAACACAGAGTCGGGCTTGCACACCAGCGAAACCCCGGTGGCTATGGCGAACTTGACAACTTTCAGAGCGCACTGCCTGAAGCCGGAGCCAGCTCGGGACAAACAGGTCCCCTCATTGAGGAGCAGCTGCTTTGAGGACGCGGACGACGAGCGACGAGCTCGCGTTCGTCAATTACCTCCGCGATCGCTGCCACCCACTTGAATCCAAACCTACTCCCCTCTCTGTCAGAAGAGACATTGCTTCAGAAGATTCTGACAGGCCGCAACATGGTCACGCAACCTCAACACCTAGGATCTTCCGTGGGACGCAGAACAACAGGAAAGCAAGAAAGCAAACAGGAAGCGTCAACTCTTCTCTTGCCGGCAAGTCTCCAAATGTCCAGTCTGATGTGACAGCACCGAGACTGCCGATAGGGCAAGCTGAGCCTGCCATACGCAAGCCACTAAGGCTGCCTTGGCTTCCCGAGCAAGGACCGCGCCCATGGCAGCACAAATAACCCATTTGTGCTTTGGAAGCTCGCCCCTTAAGCAGGATGATGTATTCCTGCAACGAGCCATACGGGAGTTGATGTAACATCTGTCGCGACCATCGATATACCATGGTTTTGTGCACGGGCTTGAGCAAAGCAGACGACTTCAGAACCCAGTCAGACACTTCAAGCTGCATCGCACACAGTGCTACAGTGACACGCCCCAGTGTCGGGGATTGCATTTCTCGAGTCTTTGACACTTGCCCGTGGTTCCTGGTAGGAGTATAAGAGCAACTCGCGAAGTGGTCCCAGTGCACAACCTGCACCTCAGGTCAAACCCGTGACCGAGAAGCACCAGCCTCCGTCGTTTGCTGCACAAAACATAGCCAGCAGTGGCCAAGACACATCTGAAGAGTTGGACGACAAGCTGGGCTATGGAGCCACAGAGCTGATTGGGAAAAACAAGCGTCAGGTAAACCCGACGATTCAACGACTCCACACCGCAACCTTCGAAGACTCGCGCTCCATGACAAATGCCGGAGGGGCTTTCGGACTGTGACTTGCTAGTCCTCCTCAATAGAAAGACCTCTGTGAAAACTTTGCTTAACTTTCTGCTGGGGCACCAGAATACTGTGCAATGTGGTTGCTCCTGCGTTATATCGGTGGCAGGAATTCTCCAGCCAATTTGACCACTACGACATTTTCGAAGCGTTTGCAATCCAATTACAGGGCTGTTGAACTGGTTTTCATTGCCTGCAGTTTGTTCTGGGAAACTTTTGCCAGTGCCAAATTACCCTGTGAGTTGTGTAAAGGCAGCATGCCGTATCTGCTCGTGTCTTGTGTGCCCTTTGGCTTTGTCATCGGCAAATGCCCAAAAACACTTTGTAAATCTCGACACGAGCAAAGTCTGTTGTTTTGAGCGCTAGGAGTCTCAGGCTTGACGTTGGCCTTCGGTACAGGCGACATTCTGACGTTTAGATTATTGACCACGTGCTCCGACTTTTTGAACTGAGCTATGTACATAAAAGCATCATTAAGGATCGAAAATCATGAACACTTGCGAATTGAATACTCACCCGCCGCATGGATCCACATCCACCTTGATCCGCTGAAGCTACCGAAGGCGTGATGGATGGATCTGAAAGCTGGATATCCAGGCCTAGGAGATCTTCATTTTAGGTTAATAGCTGCGCCGGCACGACGGAGATCATCACCCCTGCTTTTCAATGAAGATGTCTCATGCTCTCGACATGTTACTCTTGCAGGTCCGAACGAATACCGCTTTTCAGGGTCTCCGGCTGCTTTTCTTGACAACCGCTTCCCGGCAGAGCTTTTTCCAGCAGCAAGCCTTGGCAATGTTATCGGAGATTCATTTCAATCCGCCGAGGCCACCCCCACCCTGTGAGATGTAACCTGGGCGTGTATCCCTCGCTAGGCGTACAGGAACACAGGCTCGCAGGAGACTCTTGCTGCTACAAGCGCACAGCTGTAGATCGTACTTTGCTAGAACCTTGAGCAACAGGCATGGATACATGCACAAGTGATGCGTGAAAGAGACAGGCATTTGAACTAGTGGCAAAGTACATCTGTAACGCGAGAGTGTCTGCACATTTCAGCCATATAATATGAATAAACAGAACATGCGCACGAAACGCAAACGGATCTTCGGTCGAAAACTCTTTGATCGAAAGATGCCCAAATGTTCAGTTCCCTCTCTGTCCCAATAGTGCGTTAGGTGCGGGATCATTGGACCCACGCGCCTTGTTCGCCTTCTGTCTCGCCTTCCTCCTGTCCGCTGCCTCTTTGACGGTTTCAGGATTCCGGTTCATCGCTCTCATCCGTCCTCCTGTAAACTGGTTTGCATGGACCTCGATCAGGAGAGGAGTATAATCGTCGAAATCTCTGTCACCCACAAGGTCTGATGAGCTCGTAGAGTTGAGGAGCCATTCCGAGACACTGACCTTGGTCCATTGGTCGCCAGACACACTGTGTCCCCACTCGAAAACAGTGGCCATCGACGGATCAAGCCCTGGAAAGGTATTCCAGTCTGGCTGTGCACAATTCCGGTACGGTTTGCCTCCAAGTTGGTCCTCATATTGCTTGAGGAGATACAAACTGTTGGCTGAAACATGTTGGATAGCACAGATGAGGGCACGCTGGTGACTCAGACCAAGCTTCGAGGTAGTGGTCGAGGAGGCTCTGGTACATATGCCACCACGGATGTCCATGCTTTCCTGCTTGCATCCCATGGCTCTATAAAGGGCCATGTTAGGGTCACCACCGATCAAATCGACCTGGTAGTGCAAGCAGTCGGCAAGCATCGTGCCAAGGCATTCATGCGCCAACGCAACCCTCGCTGCAGCGACGGTGTTCTTGAGGTGGAACACGCAGACGCGGATGCGGTCAAGGCCAACTCTCTCTAGAGTTCGATTCAGAGCCGAATCAGGGAACTCGCCCCGATAGCCGTGACTTCCAGGAGCCACGATCATGCAGGTGAGCGGGAGATGTGAATGAGCTACCCCGACAAGTGACAAGTGTCGAGCCTGCTAAACACTTCAGACTGGAACCCAGGAAATTGTCCTGCTTCCAATGAGGATGTCACCAGAATTGTACACTAGCTAGCGTATCCTCCCGCCACCTCCCTCAACACCTCCGGGGAGTACGTAGCAAGCCCAGCTTTAGCTAACCGGCTTCACACAGTAGCACGGACAACACGAACTTCTCTCTTTTTAGCGTTGTGGCAAAGTCCCGCGTTAGCCCGGAGAAGAACTCTAGCCTTCGGCTAGCTAATCTCCAGGGTGGGTTGGGTGGGCACTCGAAATTTGCCCCCAATAGCAGGGGGCCTTTCAGCACAATGGCCACGGAATAGCTCACGTTCCACCGGCCATGTGCTGACACTCTAGCAAACAGACTGGCTTCGTTCTGTTTAGCTTCAGAGGAAAACCCCTTCGACGATTTCTAGCGAAACACCTTCGATGTTTCACACAAGGATACTAGCGCTAGCATACACGGTCGTACCTTGTCCCTCGGCACGAGTGCGTACACTAGCTAGCGTATCCTCCCGCCACCTCCCTCAACACCTCCGGGGAGTACGTAGCAAGCCTAGCTTTAGCTAACCGGCTTCACACAGTAGCACGGACAACACGAACTTCTCTCTTTTTAGCGTTGTGGCGAAGCCCCGCGTTAGCCCGGAGAAGAACTCTAGCCTTCGGCTAGCTAATCTCCAGGGTGGGTTGGGTGGGCACTCGAAATTTGCCCCCAATAGCAGGGGGCCTTTCAGCACAATGGCCACGGAATAGCTCACGTTCCACCGGCCATGTGCTGACACTCTAGCAAACAGACTGGCTTCGTTCTGTTTAGCTTCAGAGGAAAACCCCTTCGACGATTTCTAGCGAAACACCTTCGATGTTTCACACAAGGATACTAGCGCTAGCATACACGGTCGTACCTTGTCCCTCGGCACGAGTGCGTACACTAGCTAGCGTATCCTCCCGCCACCTCCCTCAACACCTCCGGGGAGTACGTAGCAAGCCTAGCTTTAGCTAACCGGCTTCACACAGTAGCACGGACAACACGAACTTCTCTCTTTTTAGCGTTGTGGCGAAGTCCCGCGTTAGCCCGGAGAAGAACTCTAGCCTTCGGCTAGCTAGTCTCCTCGCGCAGCCGTAGGGCTACCAGGGACCTAGCTTACGGGCCTTCTTAGCGAACCTCGGAGCCTTAGGCTCCCCAGTTCTCTTCCTCACTCCTAGCTCTTGAAAGTAGCTAGCCGAGTGTTCGAGGAGACGGCCCAGCACACGCCACTCTAGCTTTTCCCCCTCCAGGTCTAACCTGAAGTCCGGGGAGAAACTAGCGAAGTTCTCGTTCGTGAGGTCGTCCGCTAGCTGGTTCAGATCACGGTGCTTGCTATTGGTGGACCCGCATAGCGGCGTGTGGGCTTCGGCTCACGTACCACCTGCTAGGGCCATCGTTCCCGCTAGACATGCTACTCTATGCCGACGACCTCGAGTCCTTGGGCCGGGGGGCCAGGGGCCGCATGGGGATCCCGCTAAGTTACCTCTTCCTCGCTAGTCTTGGGTACCCCTTCAAGTGGTCCAAGACGAGGGGGGGGTTTCGGGTAGAGTGGCTAGGCATGGAGACGGAGTACTCCACATGGAGGCTAGGTCTTTCACAGAAGAGGACCAACTGGCTACGGAAGCTAGTGCGTGAAGGGAAGAGCGAGGCCTGCCCTTTCGCGCAAGGGCTAGGGCGTTTGGGTTTCGCTTCCATGGCGCTAGACTGGGAACGCCCTTTCCTTGGTCCGCTACACGCCTGGTCGTCGGCTATCCAAGAAAAGCCGGGCCACCTGACGCTACCCACGATGATCCGCGTCCTGTGTGGATGGCTAGCAGACCGTCTGGAGGCGGGTGGCCGTCTGCAACGACCTGCCCCGCTATTGGATCCGACGCTAAGGCAGAGAACGGACGGGCCTGGATTGGAGGCTTTCTGGAGCTAGTTGACGGCTGCCACGGTCCCTGGTTCTCGCTAGAGGTGAAGAAGGAGCGGGCCCCTTGGGCCTTCGCTAAGGGTGACCCGAACAAGGTCATGTGTGCCGGAAACAGCAGGGCATGATCAAGTAGGGAAAAATGCTCCCCCCGTCGAAGCTCCCCTTGATGCTCGATGTAAACCGTGCCCTGTGGATCCTCCACCCAGAGGCCTCCATGGTCCTGCTGACTGAGGCTTATGATGAGATTGTGCTGCGGACCGTTCTGGGCATCCTTGTGCGGTGGGGTAAAATAGTTGACATTGACAGCCAGGCTCGTGAATCTGTGCTCAGGATGCACATGCTTGACAGACGGCACACATTGTGATGTTGCGGCGTCGCCTTACAAATGCCAACCAGCGATGCTAACTATGCCCGGGACTACCTGATGCCCCGGCTGGGCAGGGCAGGGCAGCTGCGGACGCTCTTGTGGCTACTGCCGGGCTGCTAGCGATCATGGGCTACCTTCGCGAGGTCCAAGGCTACTGGACCGA